CATTATAGGTCAAAGTACGGCCTTCAACACGGGGTCTTGGCTCACACCGAACAGCAAGCTATAAAGGGCCCTTAAAAATGACTAGTGTAAAACCATTCAAACAGGAAAACCAACGGTCCAATTTATATAAACAACGAAAAACGAGAAACACCCATGAACCACATCAACAAACGACATCTATGAACATCAGGTTCCTGACTTAGGACAGGTGCACACAAATTAAAGGTTTTAATAGAGGTTTCTCAACATCTTACGAACGAACGAAAATTGACCTAACTTGACGTAACTTGCCGTAACAAGAAAAGAGGGAGCATTCATTTATTCCATTATTTTGGACTATCGGCTGTGATTTTTTTCCCTTTGAAATGTCTTTTACATAAAAAAAAAATATATACATTCTGGATTTTGTAAGACCATTTTGATTCGTAGACAAATAATATTGACTTGATATATATAAAAGAGGGGCGAAAGATACCAGAGGGAAAATCATATTCATAGATTGAAAACAAACCGACAACGCCATGGCTAAAAAATAAAGAGACAAAAAGACAAATAATAATACACAGCACACAACATAGAAAACTAAAGACTAAGCAACACGAACCCCAACAAAAACTGGGGGTGATCTCAGGTGCTCCGGAAGGGTAAGCAGATCCTGCTCCACATGTGGCACCCGTCGTGTTGCTTATGTTATTACAAATCCGGTAAATAGTCCTATTCGGTAGTAGGTCACATTCGTGAAAAGGGAAGGGTATTGTAGTTACGAGATCTTACGACATAAGGAACATATCCGATATCCTCTGTGAAACGGTTATTCCATAACGGTCAACTAATAATCATGGTTTACTTTTATAAATTGTTACTTGGATGGAGAGTTGTCTCATTGGCACTCATACCTCATCTTCCTATATCTAACCAACTCGTGATTGCGTCCGTAAAATTTACGAAAGGATGATATATGATATCATATATAATATATAAAATACAATTTACGGTTTAATCAAAACAGTTGAAATTATGGCGAAGAATATAAAATATTTAGACCCAGGACAGCAATCGTACAAAAGATTTTGATAAACATGACAACATCATTTCGAATTTTTTAGTACATAGCTGAAAAAAAGGTATAGAACTTTGGAATGGAAGGGGATAGGAATCTTTTTAAATCTTATCAAGGATCAGATCAATGGAAGACTGAAGGTCTTTCGCAAACATGAGATACCGGTAACACTAATCAAGGCATGAACGCCTCTAGTTTTTAATTTGAAATAAAAACATCCTCATTGCCCCAACTCTAAAATACAAATGATCACTTCTTGAACTCAAATGATTATAACTGATTCATATTCTAGATAAATTGATAAACTCAAGAAGATAACTAAAGGGAAACATTGAAATAAATATTTGAAAAAAACAGTTAACACTTTAAAAAGATGTTCTTTAATGTATTTAGGTTTTTTTTATTTTTTTTGTTTTCATAGCAGTTCTTATTCTCTTTGTGTTTGTTTTATAATCGTACACATTTTAGTATAATGGTATATATTATTATTTTAATTTTTTTGTTCGTGGAGTTTTTATGACATACATAAAAAGGCCGTTAGTTTTTCTCGTTTGAATTGTTTTACATTGTCATGTCGGGGCCTTTTCTAACTGACTATGCGGTATGGGCTTTGCTCATTGTTGAAGTCCGTACGGTGACTTATAGTTGTTAATTTCTGTGTTATTTGGTTTCTTGTGGAGAGTTGTCTCATTGGCAATCATACCACATCTTCTTTTTTTAAATGTATATGTTTTCTTCGGTTTTATTTTTCTCATTTTTCTTATTACTTTGGGAATGGAATTTAAAGAAGATGTACCTTTTAAAAACTATGTAACTATCTGTTTGTTGGTGCTGTAGCACTCATACTTTCAACAAGTATACACAAAACTCTATAACTTTACGATTGATCGAGAGCACCTTTATATTTCTGTACCTTATTCCCAAAAATAATTTAACAGCAAGTCGGACCAATTGGATCTAGCACATTGAGACTTTCCTGTTGGGTGCTTTATTCTAGCAGGTATCAGGAGGCAGAATTTACCCAAACTGACCCTTCTTTATTCGTTCCATATTTATATATGTGTGGATATAATAAATGAAAAATACTAAACTTGTGTTATCTCAATCACTTTTCAATTCCTTTTACAAACGCTAATCTCGTCGTGAAAAGCATGGAATACTTGCTACAGAACGTTAAACATCCAACAATCAATCAAATGAAATGCAAACCAGACGCTCCAATTGTTTTTCACAACATTACAAACTGACAATGTTCTTTTTTAATGGATAATGGAGATAAATCGAACGCATATATTCGACATATAAACAAAGGAAACTCAACGTAAGAATACGTAACATTAAACAACAGAAAATAAATTGCAAGGTTGCAAAAAGACTATGCAATTGTTAACTGTTGTCCTTAAACACACTGCAATATCGGTAGACACTTAAAGTGGATTTTATTATAACAAAATTACTGCTCCTTAACGATACGTTCGTAGAGTTTCGTCCGTTCGTAAGATGTTGAGAAACCTCTAATAGGCGCAAACCTTCATCCTACCTGAAACAATAATGTAACATCACAACATAGAAAGACACACTATTAGTTGCATGTATGAGGTGGAAAATTGTATGCTTTGGTAGGCATTGCAAGCAATTACTTTGATCGGTCATGTATCACATGCAGCGAACGTGTTCACAATCATTAACATCATACTTGAATCATCATTCATAAGCATCGCGACTATGTGAGGACTATATGCTAATTTTCTGAGAGTATACACGTAAAAGTAATAGGTTATCTAGAAACCAAAAATATCAGAAAAAATATATAGAAAACTCATTTTAGGGCATATGTCTAATTAAAGTGCTATAACAATTGATATTGCAAGAGAATTTATTCATTTTTAACAAAACTTTGAACCATGGGTAAACTTTACTCCGGCAAACTCGCCAGGCCTTCGAGACAAATGATATAAAGAAACCCCTTTTAAGTCATCGGTTTTTGATGCAGATGTACGTTGTCAAGTCTAACCCGACAAGTCTTTTAGATCATCCGAAATTAAAATGTTCTGACAAAATTGTAAGCCATAGTTTTATCTACATGCCAAGATAATAAAATTTCAAACTCATTAAAGCTGAGTTCAGCAACTTTGAACGGTTAACCTTAAACTCGATAGGTGTCTTTGTTGTTCTCCTACATGGATTTTGACCTTTAAGAGTTTAACCTAGACATCGAAAGGGGTCCTTTTATATATCTTTTTTCTATAGTAACAATGCAAACTAAATTGAAAATAATCATTCGGAAACCATTGTTTTTTTTTCTTCAAAAATCGATTTTATTAATAGTGACCTCACGATCTGACTCATTGGCCAAATAATCGATAGGCTTCTCTTTGTTTATATCTGTTGTATACATTTAAAACCAATTTATTTAGTTATCATCCGCCAAACGTTTGTTTCGGACAGACGTACGGACAAAGCGACTACTAGATGATACCGATTATAATTAGGGGAGCGTTAATTTGTATACGACCTTTCAAAATGCTCTAACATTTTTGTTTATATGAACAAAATTATTGCAGTACACATTGGAAAGTTCGAGCCTGCTGAGGTTATCCGGTGATCTTTATTCCAAAACCACTTGTCATACACGTAAGCAATGATGTCGATACGTCTTTGTCTTCCGTGGCTCGTTTTGATATGTTACACATTCTAAATTCATGTGAACATAAGTTTTGATGATATCAAGTGGGTTTGAAAGACATTTTATTTTCAAAAATTCTTATTTCCATTTTGACATTTCTTACTACCAATGTGACATTTTTCAGTTCCACATAGACATGTCTCAGTTATAAGTAGATATTTTTCAGTTCCAAGTTGACATTTCTCACTTCCTAGTTGACATTTCGTTCTTCTAAGTTGACGTTTCAGACTTCCAATTTAACATATCTGAGTTCAAACTGGAAATTGAGAAATGTAAATTCGGAACTAAGACATATCGAGTTGGAAATTAATGAGTATGTCGAATTGGAAATGAGAAATGTCAAACTTGAAATGAGAAATATCAAATTTGAAATGAAAATATTATTAACAGAATGGGCCAATCGGTCTTTCGTAAAGAAGCAATCATAAACTAAGATTAAAGACCGAGCTCCAGATACAATACAAAGACACTGACGTATTGAGCATCATAAACCACTTTTTTTCAAAATAAGGAAAATAACCTTATTTTAACTTAATTGAACAGACACACTCACTTCCTTCATATGATCACATAACAAATCCTGGATCCACCACTGATGTCAAATATTTCAAACAAATTACATTAATAGCAGCCTTCAAGGAATTTCGACGCTAGATGAGGTATGGACCACCGGTTTGAGATGTTTTTTTTTTACTGCAGACCTTCTATTAACAGCCAAAATGAACCACATTAACAGTTTGGCTTCTTTGAACTATTTGCCTTTTCCTGGTTTTTAATTAAATGCTTGCTGATACATAAATCCCCTATGTCTTCTTTTCCAATTAAAAGATAAATTCAATAAAGAATAACAGATTAACCTCGCGCAACGTACCCTTCCAATTTGAGTATATGATTTGCTGACTTACGTGTATCAAACTCAACGGTTGTTGTATTTAAGTGTAGTATATGAATACAAAAAAACAACCATATATCCCTGTTATCCGGACATTGATGGTATCTACAATAGCCGATGTAGTACTTGATTCACAATAGTCTGGATCACATGATAAGGATCACAAAGCAATAAAAGATACATATTACTTGATTTCAGTCGTGTGTTATTACTGTGGATACATCTGGTAAACACAGAAAGATGGTTCCAAGAGGCAGCAACACAAAGACAATTATTTCAAGCCACCTGATTCTGAAAAATACTTTTTTTTCAATCACTGCTCAATTTTAACAAAAACAGTAATCTGACTAAGAAAAACCAAATAAAATTGCAATTATTTTATTTTTGATGCTGATCTTCTGTGTGTTTTCTGTTTTCTCATCTCGCTTATGGTTTGACTAAAAACACAAAAATATGCATTTTAATTCAAAACAAATCACAAGGTATAAAACAGTAACTTTCCCATAATGTAATACCTGTTCTAAATTGATCCAGTTGTAAAGCGTTTAAGAAATGAAAATAATCAAAACAAATGCATTAAACACAAATATCTGGTGTATATGTAGAAATAAACGATTTATGGTATGTCTTAACTAATAGATAGAATTTTTATAAGTTACCTAGATATATCGAGTTTCTCCAGCCACCTCCGCACTTTCGAGTTTTTTCTCCAGCACAAGCCATGTTACACTCTGAATCTGCTACTTTTGGATACTTTTTGTTTTCTAGTACATTTCCACACAGACAGTATGTACTATACTGAAAAATGTTTAAAAAGATTTAAATTCTGAACAAAATGATTGAAATATGGTATAAACAAATAAAGTGTATCAAAAAGTTTGAATTAATAAAAGTATAGAATGGTATGAAAATTTTTGTCAACACAAATATGCATATACTATTCTAAGCAGGGGCGGAAGAGTGGTGCCAATTGTATATAAACTTTATCATTATGGTGTTTTATTCTAATCTGTTTCGGACTTGCCTAACGTTTGAGAAATAGATATCTACAAAAAAATGTATTTAAAGCTGAATCAATTGACGTTATCTTATTTTTTTACATTTAAATGTATGTGGTAAAATTAAGTTTACCTGTAAGCCTGTGTATTTATATCCTTTACAATGTTCACGGCATTTAGCTAAGGTTATAGAACTCCCCAAGCTCGAAACTTTATGTTTGAGATGTCTGACACCGTCATCTTTGTAACATCCAATGTATCCTAAAATATAAACCATATAATGTATTTAATGAGATAAAGTCAAAAGATAATAAAAGACTTGATCAGAAATTTGTGTTATTACTTTCTATCGTTCAACCGTAGTTTTTGCTCATTAAGTAAATATTCCACATTGGTAAATAGTTTAACAACGAATGTAAAAATACTATTAAAATTTATTATTTGGTTCAATCATATTAAAAATCAACATCATTATAATATGTATGTGCCCTTCTTATTCGCTTTTTTTTCTAAACATGTTTCTTTATTATCTTTACATCTAGCATTGTAATTACTTCAAATCATCATCGGAACAAACAGGAAACGAATTGTACTTCTAAACGCTAATCCTTTAATTGATTGCGAACTTTCAATGGTATTTCTAGCACGATGCATAAAGATGTATCGTCATAGTTAAACTGTCGTATTGAGACTGTGATTAGATAGACAGACTAAATTTAAAAAAAACTACCTGAGCACATTGTATTCATTTTGCATTAATACAAATCGTATACATATAAATTAGTTTTGTATGCAATGATTAAAATGTTGTTGAAAACTTTATTCTATAATGGATACATACCACCATTAGCCGGATTAGCCTGTTTCCTTAGTGCTTTTTGCAAACCAGTGACCGCTTTACTAAGATCTGTGAGGTCGGATTTAATTGCAGAAACGCTGTTGCTGTTATCCTTTGAAACTGCTATCATTTTGTTCAATTGGTACTGTTGGGATTTCATCACTTTTTCAATCGACTTTAATTTCGAAGGTGAAACCTTGTCATAATTATCATCTAATAAGAAACCACGAATTGGTATCTTATTCGGTGCATTCAAGGATAAACTGACCGCTTTTCGTTTAGTTAAACTGGTAACTATTACAAATTCTAAGAATGCAACTAGAATTACAAAGCCCTTCATTCTGTTGGTCGATGCTGAAAATATCAGGAAATCACTGTTTTATAATAAGAAAAACTAATATGCATATGGCATGTCATTATATTGATTACGAACGCGGCTGTTGCGTGATATATGACATATCTATGTGTGTCGTTTGCATATTGGAGTAAAGGTAACGTGAAATAAAAGAGAGATTTCATAATGAACAGGAAATACATATAAGACACTGTCTGCATATTTGAACATACTACGATATACAACGGCCTTTCAAACGGAAAATACAATAACAAAAAATATGCCCAAATATTAAACGGAACAAATCGATAAGCACCCTCATATAAACATTCAGCTAAGACAATCAATTCCATTGTTGTATATCACAATTAACTGTAAAACAAATAAGGATGAAAAGAAATACCCATTTATCACTCTATTTTCTTTGCCGGCATGATTTTTGTTGTTGACTTCATTAAAACAGCTAATGGCCTTTTCAAGATCACACTACTTCAATTTAAGGAGCCCTACAACTGCCTTTGTGTCCATGTTACTTGGTATGACCTAAAGGTTTCTGTTGTGTAGATGTGCACGTCGTGTTGTTGCTTTTCGATATGTTTGTTTTCAATTTCCAACTTCTTACACAGCGCTTAAATATACAACTGAAAGTTGATTATCTTATTATTACCAATTAATATGGTTATACATTTGTACTTTTCATAACTTACATGTTGTCGAACTATATAAATCTATTGATAGTAAATGCTCGAATTTGTTTTTTCTATCTTGTATGAACGATTTATTAATGATTTATTTTTAAAGAAGGTTAGGGCTTTTTGACTCCATTTATCTTTTTCAACGTCAAATCGTTTCAGCAGGTATACATATGTTGTTTTAAAGTTATTTGTCATAACATATGAGCACAGGGAGAAAGCTTATTTCATCCATCCGGCGGCTTAAACAACTTCATCTAAGTCGTATGAACGCTACGCAGTTCTACTTTTTGCAATATAATATTCATTAGGACCTGATAAAGCTATACCGAAGTGCAAATAATCCAGGACGTAGTGAAGAATCACTTTATGCTAAACTACTTTTTACATGGTCGCTGTATATTTTGGTAATGAGAATTACTCTATCTTTTGACATATTCTTACCAATATTAATATTGTCATGACGGAGAGCATTTTATGTAGATTTGTTTATCTATTGGTATGTAAGTTTGAAAAAATCGATCTTATATCTATTTCTTTCAATGATATATGCTTTGTGTATTGTCTGTCAGATGAACCGTACTGACAGTGCAGTTACATTGTGCTACTCAATTCATTTATTATTTTTATCTAAATACTTGACTGTATGCATACGACACACCAATTTATACCTGTAATATTTATTTATCTTAATCCCATTATGTTTATTATTTTGAAGATTTGTTAAAAAAAAAAACCAACAGTTTGATGATTACTAGAAAAAAGTATTTTACATAAAAACATGTTGGTGGAGTTTTCTTTGGGTTTTTTTCAAACAAGGAAGTCGATGTAATTTACGATCTGTAAATTTGATATGCTATATATGAAAATAATTTTGATGTAGTAATCCAATATGATATCGATAAAATTAACACGCAATATATTCTTGATATGTCATTTTGTATTGTAAAACAACTATGCAACCTCCGCTTCAGAGTGCTTAGTGAACTGACCAATTCTTCTCTGAAAATATTTCCTCGATATTTTGAATTTACTTTACTGGAAAGAAAGTTTCACGACATATTACTGACATAATTAATATGTATGTTACCAGTGTTGACATCTTCCTTATATTCTGGAATTTTCTAAATATTGCTCGACAAATTCTTGATGAATTCATCTTTCTAAATTTGTCTAGAAATAATCTAGTTATTGTTGACATCAGCATTATTTTTCTGACATTGAGTTGGTCTATCAAGGAAGATATCTTATGATTTATTTCTTTTTTTGTGTTGTATTTTTCTCACGTTTACCTCACGTTTCATTTTATTTATATTTGGAATTTGACTAAATTATCAAAAATATAAAAAATATATTTCCAACTTGAAAAAAAAGTAAAAAAATAACAAGGGGACAATCAATACTCTGTCCTTACATTCAAAATTCCCATTTTACACCAAATGTAAAAACATGCATTGTCATTAATTTAGACTATGGTTGTCTAAAGTATGACTTTGTTCTGTTATATTCAGACTCATGATACATTAAAATCATGATATGTTAGATACAGGTAAACTGAACCAGTTGACCGGTACAATGACAACATTATTCTTTTAACACTATACAATATAACCAAATGACAACAGAGAACTGATTGCCTTGTTGTATCTTCTAAATGTTATTCGGGTGATGTAAAACGCTGCAGTTGAGGTAAAAAATGATGAATACGTTTTAAAGAAGAATGTATCTGTCTGGTTTTGTCAAGTCTAATAACCAACATTTAAATTCATAAATACAATTAATAAAAGAGGAGATTCATTCCATAATAGAAGACGCTTTATAGCATATACACCCAATTTGAATTAAAATCTCACATCATTGTTTCATTAACGTCATTATTCGTGCTAGAACATGGCATATATTTAATTTATCATTCGTACTATAACATAACAAACATTCAAACTTATAGTCTTACTAGAATATAACAAACATTCAGTGTATCATCCCTACGACAACATGACATACGTTCAATCTATAAGTTACGGGCTTGACACACAAATATATTTTGCTTTTTTGCATTGTTGCATACTCTCCTTTTATAAAGGATAAAAACGTCTAAAGCAAAAATACACATTTGATATCTTTGCTTCAACCAATTCATCAATACCACATCTTATCTGAAATGTCTAGCTTAAGTCATGAATATATAATATCAACCACAGCTTTACTTCCTACAAAATAGTAAATTGCATCTCAAACCCAGATCTCGAATAAGAGTAATCATGTTTTTTTTTATAATACAAATCCTTGGTATAATTAATAAAACACATTCGCACTCATTGTTATAATCAAGACACCAGAAATGTGAATGAAATAGTGCAATTTCATGTATAAAAAATCACATCTTTTTTTGTTATCATTATCATTATGTTTTCAAATAAAGTTACTTTTTTTCTTGGGTTAACTTAAATGTAGAGGTAGTTCTTGAACAGATACAGCTATTTCACTTTTCCATTTTATTTTAAATAACAAAACTGTATTTGATGCAAACTAGGAGAAGCTGGCACCTTTGGAAAGGGGTAGCATTATGTTATATATTAATTTTGGATACTCATATTCTTTTACATAACCTTTCTTGAAGATTCAAACATATAAGTTTTAAAATATTGATAAGGATTACAAAAGTATGGATAATGATGGAATAAAACATTTCAATACCCATTTTGAATTATACATATTTTGTGTTCAACTATTTCCTAGCTTTTGTCTACTTTCATATATGTATGACTAACCTCTGCATACATTGTTTATTGGCATTTAACAAATATAATAACTAGGACAATCATCAATGAAAGTGTGGAATTCAGAAGAATAAGTATGATGTTTATCATATGGTGCGTAAGGTAATAATTATCTTTGCATGAAGACTTAACATGAAGTTGTTATTATTACGGCTATTGTCATTCTGCTCTATGGGACTAACTCAATTTTGAATTTAAGCACAAAGGCAAAAGAGCAAAAAAAAACATAAGAAATAATACAAAAGATATTTCAAAGCTCAAATGGTCTGGAATATTGAAATCTGATGTTTATAAACAGAATTTATATATACAAAACATTTAAACAATATGGGTAAAATGTTATGTGGGTTTTAATGAAATCATACATACAGCAATCCATTTACCATTAAAAAAAAGTATATACGACAAGTAGAAAGTAAAATAACAAAAATACAGAACTCCAAGGAAAATTCAAAACGGAAGGTCGATTATCAAATGGCAAAATCAAAAGCTCAAACACTCAAACGAATGGAAAACAAATATAATATTTTTGACTTGGTTCAGGCATTTTCTAATGTACGAAATAATGGATTAAACCTGGTTTTAAAGCTAGCTTAAACTCTCACTTTTATGACAGTCGCATATAATTCCATTATATTGACAGCAATGTTTGTGAGCAAAACAAACAGACATAATAGGTAGAAATGTCAAAAATTGGGGTACGGCAATCAACATTGTGTTATGATCGTATCACCGTATAAACATACAACTATGTCAACAAAAGAAAAACAGAATACATTGAAAGACTATGCACACATTACTTGCTGTATGTTATCAGAAGAACGTTAATTTAATATGCTTGTTAGCTTATATAACAGCATACTGTTGTGTCTAAGCATCTGTCAACTCTTCATTCTCCTTATCAGTCTTTGACATAATACTCTTGAAAAAGAAAATCCTTTCCTTTTGAAGGATTTCACTAAAACTTCAATCAATTATATTCCGCGTACATAACACACTACATTTTAATATCGAAATCAAAGACAAATTCACGAAGGGAAAGTCCCTTATCAAATGGCTAAATAAAAAGCTCAAACAAATCAAACGAATGGGAGACAACCGCATATTCCTGACTTGGTAAGGTCATTTCCTTATTTAGAAAATGGTGAATTAAACCTTGATTTATAGCTGGCTAAACCTGTTTTCTAGATCGATGAAAGGTCATTTCATCATTTTATGTTAATATTATTTTCCAGTTTTCTTATTAATGTAACTGGCATTTGTTGTATAATATTTACAATGACTTTTCTTTTGATTCGATAGGTGTATGATTAAGATGTCAGTAAGGTTTACTTATTTTGCATTGCAATGTTACTTTTTAAATGACATGGTAATTCATAAGCGAAAGACTTAAAATGGAAAATCTTTTCAATGTATAACATGTATATCTAGTGGTCGGTTTTATATACTTTATATACTCTCGTTGTAGAATCATGAAAATGGATCACATTCTGAAAATGTCTCGCAGACAACTCTTATATTATCGATCGTTTGCA